CCGGGCTCATACTACGTAGCACCCCACCTCGCGGGCCGATCTTCTGGCCCAGCAAGGCTGCTGCGGAGCCCTCACGGGCCGGTCTTCTGGCTGTGTGTGTCTCGCGCCTTGCGGGGGGGAGCGGAAAGGAGGAACCTCGATTCCCAAGAGTACCACTCTTGGAGCGCCGCCACTACCACCCAGTCCCAGAGCGCTGCAAGCAGCGCCGGGCAATGACGGCTTACCGCCCACCCAGCCCCGGCCCTCGGCACACACCGGCAGCCAATGTGTGACGGCTCGAACCCGCTAAGCCATCCCGCAAGCGGGATGGCCCGCCACTAACCGCAAGCGGGCGTACGAACCGCGAGCGGCTCGCACTCGTGACACGCAGGCGCCGGCAGACGGCGCCGGGGCTAGGCGACCGAAGAGGAACTACGGCAAGAACCGCACACCGGCTGGCCCAGCGAGGCCGCTGGGTGCGGGGCACCCGGCGGCTCGGTCGGGTCGCTTCTCAACGGACAACGCAAACTCGCTCGGTCGAGCAGGAGGTGAGGTGTGTGTGTGTGTGTGCGTGTGTGTGGAAGCAACGCGGACGCGGCACGGAAAAAGAATTTTACGACAAAGCTCCCTCGCTCATCAGCAGAGCAGCGCGAAGATGGAAAAAAGTTACATATCTAGATACGTACCTCCTTGCACTCCGTTCCACTTTTTGCCGCGCAGACCATGTCTCAGATGCAGGTGACCGTCCCAGCAAACGTGTCGCCAGGCGACCCCTTCCAGGTGAACACGCCCGCAGGGCCCATGCAGGTGACGTGCCCGCCTGGCGTGTACAGCGGGCATGCCATTGCGATCAATGTGCCGGACACACAGCCGGTGATGGTCACTGCGGAGCCCGTTACTGTGTACCCGGACTATCCGGGCGCGCAGCCTGTGGCGTATTCCAGCAATTCAGTGTACCCGGACTATCCGGGCGTCCCGGCCCAGGGTGCCCCGACTCCAGCGACCATGTCTCGTGGAAAAATGGATGGGCGGGTCCGGGAGATCCGGAGCGGCTGCTACTACCTGAGCGAGTGCCCCTGCTGCTACTGCACCTATTACGGTGTCGATGCCAACGCCGAGTCCGTCGCCATCGGCCCCTGCTGCTGCATCCCTCTCGGCTGTTGCCCGGTCGCCACCGACAAGGCGCGCGCGATTCAGCCGGGGGCATCTCACTTCCAAGGCAACGAAGATGCGCTGTGGTGGGAGAGCTCGACGAGCGTGCGTAAATTCAACAAAAACTTTGACCCAGAACAGGGCACACTCATGGTCAAGTGTTGCTAGAGAGCGTGCTTGGATGCATGTTGAGGAGAAGGGAGAGCGGTCTCCTCGCGCCCCTCCGCGCACCGACCACCGTTTATTTTCTGAAGATTTTATTTCGTCTTGCGGTTAGTCGTTTTGATAAGTAGACAGCGCCGTATATCGGAGAGTCAATCAACATTGTCGCGGTTGGAAGCCGGCCGGAGCGAAGGCACGCGAGCGGCTCGAATAAGAGGCGAGAGTGCTCGCGCGCGCACACATACATGAGAGTGCACATGTGCGGAGCTCGACACACCCCGCCCCACTCTACTGGCGACGTAGGGAGAGCATCCTGACCGGGCCAGGAACCAGCCCTCGCCCCCTCCTTTGCCCTGGGCCAGAAGTTGGCGGGACTGGGACCCACCAAACGCCCCTACCCCCCCCCCCCTCACGAAGACTTTCATACAGTAAATGCGCAGGTTGGACGCATCGCCACAGCTACCCTTGGCCGAATAAATATCTGGGAGT